AACTGTTTAGGGTTAGGACGGACAGAGCTTGGGTAAGCCAGCTGGAGAGTCCATGCATGTGTGAGAAAAGCTGATCCTGGTGTAAGATGTAGCCAGCAGAGGAAAGAGAATCCAAGTGGCCTGTAGACCAAGGGCCAGGTACCCCCATTTGGCTAGCACAGAATTCTAAGGAATCCAATAATTCTAAATTCAAAGCTGTCTTCCAGGTTGTTTTGACATTTTATTTGCCAAGATAGGAAGATAAAATTCATTTTATTTAACAGTTTGTTAGCTGGACTTATGACTTTTAAATACTTTGGCTTATGGTATGTGAGCCCCCACCTATACTATTGCTCTACAGTCAATAAATGTTAGGGATGGGCCTGTTATCTGTGGAGACTGATACTAATTACATAATCATACACACACACACACACACACACAGTGTAAAATCGAACCAGAACACTAAGAAAAATAATATACTCTATGGGTCTCTCCTAAAATTCTCTCCTTGATCTCCATTCCCAAGGTTCTTAATGCATCTTTGGGTCTCCAGTTTCCCCTGAGCACTGCAAACCTCTTCTCTTATTACCCCAGGACCTAAAACACTGACTGAAATATTTCACACTACTCTTGCCCCTTCTCAATGTGGAGCTCTAGGGAAGCCAACCCCAGGAAGAATAAGGGAGGCAGGCCAAGCAGGCTAATCTCTTCCAGACTCATTTCCATTTTTCCATTAGGTCCAAAGCAGGTGCCCACCCCCCCCCCCCCACCACCACCACCACTGCCATGATGGATTTCATCCTTGTAGCAACCTCTAGGTGTTCCACAGCTGACTCCACCTAGGAGATGGTTTCACCTCTTTGTTGAGGTATCCATATGTCTCACAGCTTTTCTGCTTCCAGCTGTCTAAACTCATCCTACATCTATTTCTTCTCACTTGGTCTTCAGCAGAAACAGAGAAGCCTTCTCTGACTAATTGGGGGAAAGGTAGCACATTCCTCCACTTGTCTCTCTGAAAAGGCACCCCACACACTAGCCACTTTTAAGCACACATCTCTTTCTTGTATCCAATATTACTATAATTCCCCTGTGACCCACTGTCTGTGTTCTTGATCCCTATCAGCTTCTGTGATGTCTGGGTTAGATTGTGAAACTCCCAGAGGGCAGGGACACATCTGCCCTGTGTCTCCAGACACTGCTTGCCAGAGCAGCAGGCATAGGTAGGCACTTACTTAGTAGAGACTTTTGATGATGGAAATAGAGAAGCAGCACTCTGAACCTAGAGGATTGTGAGTGCACAGGAAGCAATCTACTCTCACACCAGACCACAATCACAGCAGTTCTGCTAGGGACTAGACTGGGAAATGGGGCACACTTTTCCTTTTAAATGAGGCAGAAGGAGCACTGTCTTGCCTCTGACATAATAACAACAAAACACTGTGACAGCATGGCTCTGTGTTGACTGATCTGATGCTCAGAATGACCATCAATTGAGGACTATCATTATTATCCCTGTTTTACAGAGGAAGAACCTGAAGCGGAGAGAGGCTGTCCTACTTGTTCATGCCTTGAACTGGGGCCATCTGGCTTCAGAGATCTCAGCTGATCCACCATGGTCCATCGAAGTGAACCAGTGCAGTTTCAGTCAGAAACAGAGAGTAAAGAGCTGCCAGCTGGGCTCTTGTCCCACACTTCCATGTATCCTTGACCCCTGTCCAACCTAAATGAATGGCTGGGAAGAGGAGGGTGGCTACTCAGTCAGCTTGTGAACATGGAGCCAAGTTGGCTTTCAAAGCATTTGTTCACACACACCCTCCATCTGCCTCCTCCTGTCCTCTCTTCTGGTTCTCAAACATGCTAAGCTTGTTCGCACTCAGGTCTTTGAACTTGCTATTTCTTCCACCTTGAGTGCTTTTCCCCCAGGCCTATGCATCAGTTCCTCCTTCTCATCATGTAGGGCCAGCTCGGATGGCACATTCTTGGGAAGGCTGTCTCTGATCACTCTTTCTAATGTTGATGCTTCTTTCTCAAACCCTCCCTTTCATTTTTGTCTAAGTCATTCTCCTATTTGACTTTCACCATAGTACTCAACACCATCTGAAATAGCTTTATTTATCTACTAGGTTACTGGTCTATTCCTGCATCTCCACTAGAATGTCACCTTTAGAAGAGAAGAGACCTCACCTATTCTGTTCATGACTGGATACTCAGTGCCTGGAACAGCATCTGGCACACTGTAGGTTCCCAACAAACATTTTTTAGGTAAAAGAATGCATGAACAAATGAGTGTAAAGTCCATTATAGGTATGTGCAAAAGTAGAACTGGCTGGCTCCTCCATTCGCCCCTTACCCCATACATTACAAACCCTTATCAGGAAGAGACCAAATCTTCATTTAGGGCAGTCTTTTGGCCCTTGGAGTAGTGGCAAATGACCAGGGAGCTCTTTGGTTCCTTTGTTTGGGCAAAGAAAAGACCAAGACATTCAGCCACTGAGATTGCAGACTGCCCTCCCCTTACAGCCACATGTGGACAGTTGCTGGATAGCTTGCTTCCTGAACAGAAAATGAAATACTGACATCTCAGCTCTTTACTTTCTGTCTTTTTCTCTTCCTACTCTAAAGAGTTTTCCCCATCTCCCCTTTGTCACTCTTCCTCACTGATATCCTGTGAAGAAAAACAAGTAAAAGTGGGAAAATGTGTTCATATCTAACACATGCTCCTCTTATTACTATGAGAGCACAATCTCATTAAAATCTCTTGGCCCTTGCACAAATAATGCAAACCCCCAAAATATCATCATCGTGTGCAGGAAGTGCTTGACCGAATCCAGTCTTAATGTGCTAACATGACCCCCCTATTCCTTGCACATAATAATAGAGCTCATTCCTTTATTGTGTTAGTGTTTTAATTCAATGCTTTATTTATGACACACCATAAAAATAATGAAGAAGAAAGGAAACTCCTAACCTCTGCCTAGACCCTGTATCACGTGAGGGTATTTCACAATAGCCCTAATGATCCTTTTCTTCTTCTTTCTTCAACAAAATACTGCTTTCCCATGATCAAAATACCTGCCATTATATTTTAATCCTTCTCAAGATGTTTTCAGGCTCATTATCTTCTGAATCCTCCTAACAGACTTATAAGGTAAAAAGGAGGACAGAGAAAGGTGCCTCTAAATCACACAAGTTGGAAAAGGGGCCCCAAGGCATAAAGCAATTTGAGGAAGTTCACACAGCAGGTGAAATATCATGCAGAAAAGGCTCCAGGTCCTGCCGGTTTCTAGAGACAAGGTTGTTTTTGCCAGAAGCCACACTTCCAGCAGCCTTGGTGACATGTAGACCTAAGCCAACCCATATGGGAGAAGAAAGAAACAGCTTAAGGAGTTAGGAAGCTAAATAATTCTTCCTTTTGGAAAAGAGGAGGCTCCTGATTGGGGCAGAATGCTGAGCAGGAGCATCCCACAGTAAGGCCCATTCTTGCTGCCAGCCAAGCCCCTCCACTCTGTGCCTCTGCTGGAGGCCCACCAATGGAAGTGGAGAGAAGGGCTGGAAGAAAGGCACTGAGCAGGCACCCTGGACCTTCTCACCTAACAGAGTCCTCAGCTCTGGGCAGGACTTCATTGGAGACTCCAGGCAAGCCTCGTCACAAGAAGAAGGAACCCAACCCTCAGCCCCTTAGAAACATTTATTCACTGAGATCCACATCACCTCCTTTCATAATGCCCAAGTAGGGACCCCAGTCATCATCTGTCCCAGAAGTGTGTTGCCCATTCAGAGCAAAGGTGAAATGAATGAAATTGTCAGCTAAGCCTATCTCTCAGAGAGCAAGCCTTCAGAAAGAGCCAGGGCCACTCAGGATCACTGGCATGACATCCTGATACTCTGCCTCTTGCTCAGGAAACACCCAGAAGTCTTCCCTCCACTTCTGGGAAACTACTGAAAAAGTGGCTGAGCAACCACACAACCCTGACCAAGGTGCGACTGAATGTTCCTTCTCCAGCATCACTAACTAGGTCAAATTTTCAGGTGAGTCTTTTCCATCTGGGATTCTGTGGTAAGTGTTGCCACAACTCATGACTTTGGGAGAATGTCCATCTGCTATCTCCAGCCTCTAGAAAACACTAGATTGGAAGTGGAGCTGGAAGGGCTGGCATGAGTCTGTCTGAAAATTTGAGTGAATGGGGTAGGGAGGACCTTCAGACTTAGCAAGATTGGCTCATGATGATAGTTGGCATCCCCTATCCTGGATGGGGAGAGTTTAAGGGACATTCTAAGTTGATGTGCTTCAGGCCTGAGAAAAGGAGTAGATATGACAAGGTTCCCTTTCTTCCTTCTCCATATCCCTTCAACTCACTCTCAACCTGCTTACCTATTTGCTTTCAAACTAGGAAAACCTTGAGTCTGCCAAGAAGTGTCTTAGCAAATTGTAGAGTCTTCTTGGACCTAGAATCTCTCCATTTCCTCCTCAGTGGCTAAAACATACTCCTGAGGGTGTCAATGTAATATGGGAGGGGGGAGTTCAAAGTGAAAGAATAGGGTCAGGCTTGTTGTGTTTCAGCCTGTGAGAATAAGGGAAAGAGGACAAGATGTCTGCACATGTCCCTCCAAAGAGGGAAGAAGTTTAAATCTGGGACTGAAAACGGGCTGGGGGGAATGTCAGCAAACAACAAATCAGATAAAAAGATATCTCGGCTACAAGCATGAATGTACCACCACGTTCCTTCATTTCATCACTTTTGACTTCTGAATCGTCTATTCTGCGGATGGTTATGGAGTTTTGGGATGGAATTGGAGACACTAGCATTGGAAGGAAAATGCAAAAACTGGGGTACAACTCAGCCACCAAACAGGCTCTGCTGGGAACCAGACAACTTTTGGACAAACTTAACCAAAAGAAACATCACTGAGGAGCCCTTAGAGACGGCACAATCGTTCCCGAGGGCAAGCAGGTGAGTACTTATCTGCAAGACCTGAGGACACCATAAGGCAGCAGGAAAAGGGAAAAGGGGTCTCACCTGTTCCGGCCCCTGGAAGCAGATGCGGCAGAGCGGGGTCCTCATGCCACTGTCCAGGCTGCTGCCCAGTGAGTAGCAATCCTCAGCCTTCCCCTTACAGAAGTCATCTGAGGAGGCACTGCTGAGCAGCGAGGCAGGTGGCTCTGTGGCTGGGCCACCCCAGTCATCTTCCACAGAAGAAGGTGGCAAAGGTGGTGGAGGTGGCAGAGGAGTGGTCTCCCTGCCCACCCCTTCTCGAGGGCCCCTCCAGCCTGCCCACCCCCCGGCACCTAGAGCCGGAAGGGTGTTGTTGTTGGCCGCCAAGCTGGGGGGCTGGGGGTCTCCGTGCATGGGCAGGGGCGCTGGAGGGGGGCGCCGCAGTAGGAAAACCTTCAGGTCATTGAAGAGCATGCGGCAGCGGCACTTGAGGAGACCCTGGTGGCGCAACATCTGGGGAGCCGGGGCGCACAATCCACAGCAGGAGCGGGCACAGCAGCAGCACCACCACCAGAAGAGTCCACTCAGGGGCATCAGCATGTGCCCAGTGGAAGCAGAGAGCCCGGGAGGGGCAGCTGGAGTCTTTTCAGAGGAAGATAGTAGAATGGTTTGGGGTGGGGGTGGGGGGTCCCCCCCCAAGGCGTGTTTAGGGGGGGGGGGATCTGCTTTCTCACTGGCTCCTCTTACACCCCCTCCAAGTAGCAAATCAATTGCCCCCAGGACTTAGAACTGTGAGTCACTGATTTTGAACTCTCCCTGGAAAGCCCGACAACAACAAAAAAGGTTTTCTTTCCTCCCTCCCACCAGCCTTAGCTTTGCTCAGGGTGTCTCCTTTTTGCCTGTGACTGGGGCACTGGGAGGGGAAGGGGGGTTTTAAAAATTGTTGAGGAAGGGCTGTTTGGGCCTTGAGATCAAGGTCTAGTTGTTAGAAAGTTTCCCAGGAGAAGATTGTTAGGTTCTTCTCAAATTCCTAGGCAATGGGAAATCTCTTTTCTTTTGTATAAAAGGGTGGGGAAGATTATAAATCAAATTTAGAGTGGACTGAGCTGGGCTTAGGGCAAGCCAGCCCAGTGAAAAATTGAGTACTGCATGTGCAGAGAGAAATAGTTTTCCTCAGGTAGCAGGTGATCGGTTGTGAGGGGTGGGGGGAGTGTAAGGTGGGGAGGGAGAGGAGGTTGGGAGAAGTTTTAATTCTCCTGGGCAGAAAACTGGGGCAATTAATCCCCAGAAGCACCAGAGTTGCTTTTAAGAGAGCAGTTGGATGGGGGGGGGGGTGTGAGGGGGCGGGGAGGAGGGATTGCAGGTGAAATTGGGCAAGGGGCTTGTGCTTTGCCTCCGCAGCCAAAGGGTTGCGCAAAAGAGGGAAAAGCCAATTAGGAGAATAGAAGTGGGAACATAATGGGCTGGGGAGGGGGAAAGAAATGGGGGGGAGAGGAAAGATCGTTTAACCCTTGCAGATCCGCTTCCTTCCTGAGCATGAAGATCCTGGCTAGAGGAAGGGTGTGTGTGTAGGGGACGGGAGGCAGTGGAGCAGAGAGAAGGGGTAGAGAAAAGGGGCGTGTGGGAAGAGACAGGAGGAAGGAGTAGTTACATGATCTCAGCCCCCAGCCCACCCCTGCGGTAGTCTGTAAATCCGCGGCCCCTTCCCCTTGGCTCCATCAAAGGTCCCTTCGGGCGAGGGGCAAGGGCCGGGAGAAGGGCAGATCCGGGAGGGTGAGTGGCCTCGCCTTCTCTTCCTCTTCCTCTTCCTCTTCTGGGCCGTTGTCGCCCTCCTCCTCTTGCTCCGAGTCTGCCCGCGGCCGCTGATGCTGCTGTGGCGGCGGCAGTGAACGCTGGTCGGCGTCCCGGTGTCTCCGGGGCGGGGGCTGCTCTGGCTCGTCCTCTGGCTGCTGCTCGCCGTCCGGCGCGGCCGCGACTCCCGGCTTCATGATCCTCCTCCTCCTCCTCCTCCTTCCCTGGGGGCCGGCTCTGAGCCCCCGCGCCCGGGCAGCGCTGCCATGCAACCAGAGGCGAGGCAGGCGTTGGGGTGGGGGCGGCTGGGGAGTGAGGAGGGGGGGCAATAAAAAATGAAATAAAACTAGTGGAAGAATAACAATTCGGTTCTCAATCAGGCAAGAGTGCTTCTGGAGGGGTGGGGGTGGAGGAGGGCGGCTGCCGGGTCTTCACGGCAGCTCTGCCCCCACTGCCCCCCCCCCAAGGGCGGCCTCGGCCGGCTCTCTGTCCCCCCCCCCACACACACACACACGCCCCTCCCTCCTCTCCGCTGCCTCCGGCTGGTTGGGCTCGCTGTTGCTACCTCCTCGCAAATGCAACGAGGTAAGGCTTGTTTGCGGTGCCAGTTGCAGGTGGGGAGGGGGAAACGAAGCCGTGTGGCCGAGGTGGGAGACAGCCAGCACTTGGCTCCGTCTTGGTCCTCGCGACTCCTCAAAACCGTATATAAATATATCTCTTATAAAAGGCGAGAGGAAGCAAATCAGATTCCAGGCTGCTGCCAGGTGTTGTCTCGTCTTCCGCCGTTGCTCAGCACCCGCCGCCGCGACTGCTGCCCCCCTGGCTCAATTCCCAAAGGGGTGGTGCTGGAAGGGAGGTGGCGGGGCGGTGAGCTGACCGTCCGAGGAATGGAAACAAGATTCCTGGAGCGGAGAAGGCTCTCTGCTGTCTCCGCTGCCGCCGCCGCCGCTGCCGCTGCTGCTGCATTCAGCACCCCAGGCAAGTGGACAGCTCCCACCCAGACCCCGCGCGTCACGCAAGTAGGGGCCTGACGCAGACGCCGCGGAGGGATGGAGGAGGGAAAGGGGCCAAGAGGAAAAGAGGCTAGGGAGAGAGGGGAGGGAGGGAGAAAGAGAGAGAGGGAGAGAGAGAGAAGGAGAGAACTGTTCGAAGGAAGGGGGTGGGGAGGGACCAAGGGAAGGGAAGGAAGGACGCGAGGGAGGGATTTAGGAAGGAAGGGAGGAGGGAGCAAAGTGGAGGAAGAGGGAGAAAGGCAAGTGGAGTGGAAGGGAGCAATTCAGGTACATTTTCCCCCAGCTCGAAAGTATCAGTGTGGAGAGTTCGGTTGTAGAATTTCTTCCCAATGGACACTATCACCAGCCCTCTCAACGCGCATACACAGAGCCTTCTATGTCGCAACCAGAGTCCATTTCCCTGCTTATATAAACATTTTAAACAGATATCAGTCTGCCAGCTTTGGGAAAGATAAAGTTTTGTGATTCTCGCACTAACACTGAGACTTGGTGGAGACTAAGTCCCTCATGACTAGGAATTCATGGGAAGAAAATGCTTCGAAGAAGGAGCAGATACCAGCACCATTTCTGCCAGTTGTTTCTAGAATTTAAGCTACAAAGGGCAGGGTTTGTTTGTCTGTTGCTGTTGTTTTGGTCCATTTTGATCATATGTGCATAGGTCAGTGGTGGCATGCAGTGAGTGCCCAATACATATTTGTTGAATGGACTGTGACCACCATCGCTACCACCAAAGTCATCATTACCCCAAGCCATAGACCTCTTTCAATTGTGGATCATAAGAATCCAGAACAGTATTATGGCTGCATCTTAACCAATATCTCCAACATGCCCTGATCCAAGCTTTTCATTGAGTTGCTGACAAGAGGTAATTTGAAATGGATTTTAATTTCCTCTTTCATTTGTTTCTGACTCATGTCACCCTACCGCATCCTTCTCAAGGAGTTCCTAATGAGTAGAAAGAAAGAGAAAACTTAAGGTGGTCTGTACAAATGTTCAGTACTTACAAGTGTAGATTTCAGTCATTTAAAACTTAGGCTTGCTTTCTTGCCTTTCTTCATAACCTCCCTCCCTCTCCCTCTGAACACTCACACACACCTCCAGGGTCATGGACTTGGACAAGCTATCCCAATGAGTCATCTACACAGCTGTGGTAATGCCTTTAGAAATATTGGAGCCATAGACAGAGAGCATGCAAAATCTCTGCACCAAAATATCACTGGCATGAAGTTGAGCCCTATGAATCATAAGAAAATACCCCTTTGCTGCCATCTCCTTGAATGTTTTATTCTTACAAGTGCTAAGGAGCAAGGACCTAAGTCTGGGTCTTGATTAAGCCAGGGTGGCTGCTTGTATGAATCATGTCTCAGCACCCACCATGGAGGCTGACACCTGTCCCAAGGTGAATGGTTAAAAGAGGATACTACAAAAATGACTACAAAATCAACTACAAAATAATATGTATGTTATGGATATCAGCACACCCACTCTGCTGCAAAAGAGAATTTCTTTGTTACAAAAATCCATCTGCTCTCAAAGAAAATTCTCTGTGTGCCACATCGCCCTGTGCCTGATTCTGACATTGTGCAAATCACACTCTATAATAATGATCTCATCATATATTCATCTCCTTTTACAAGACACAGAACTCCTTGAAGGCAGGGACCAGTTTTATATTTGTATCATCAGCACATAACATAGTGCCTAAAGCCCAATGTGTGATAGAGAAAACAAACATGAAATGAAAGAAAGACCTTTTTGTTTTAGTGAAGCTTACCCCATTTCTCCCCTTCAACCTAAACACATTCATGTGAGTGCTCTCATACATGGCTGAATATCTGCTTTACCTAAAGTTGGATTTCAGGGTCTTGTAAAATACAAATACTCACAAAATACTGGTTACAAGTATGTCGTGCAAGTGAGTCAGGGCAGGAAATAAAGGAGCCATGTGAAGCCTATATTCAGAGTTACAGAAAGGGGTGTTATCCATAAGACTGTCTTTCCCAACCCTTCCACTGAAAGGAAAAGGATTTCCAGGAACAGAAAACTGCTAAGGATGTGGAGCAAGGACAAGGCTGTCTGCAGAAAGACTGGAAGGCTTGAGAGTTCTGTTTTGAATATAATGTAAATCCTGAAAAGCACCTCACTGAGTTACATTCTCCTTATGCTGATAATGAAACAATGGTTGTGAACCCCAAAAGTAAAAGCCACAGTAAAGAAAATGTCAAATCAATGGGTCTCCATTAAAGTATTCAAAATATTTATCAAACACCAATCATAGCCAAGGCATTGTACTGGAAGATGAAAACACAAAAATGGATTGGTTGGGATTGCTTCCTCAAGGGTCTAGTACTGTAAACATGTACATAATCATAATATAAGATATAAAATAATAAATTCTATAAAGGTATAAAACGTTTGGGGCATGTTTAAAATAAGGAGGTAACTATGTTTATGGCTTGGCAACAATTAGGATAGGTAGGGAGAGGTGGAGACATCAGAGCTCCAAGAAGGTCTTTTTCAAAAAGTGACACTTGAACTGAGTTAAAATATGTAGAGTTCAGAGGAAGGAAGCATATTTCTGGCAGTGGGGATGTTGAATACTTTAGTTCTTCCATTTGTCTGGAGTAGTTGGTGCTTGAAATTAAGTAGCCGGAAGGAAAGTTTGAAGGGTAGGCTGGAGCCAGATCACAGAAGGCCCTGAACGCCAATCTGAGAGATTTATTCATTGACCAGTTACTTGTTTTAATGGTTTTAAAGATTTGGAGCTGAAGGTGAAGGGCAGAAATAAACTTTATCTCTGAGCAGGTTAATTAACT